CTAGGCTATGGAGTTTGACTTGTGTGTATCTGCATACAGATTTGGAATTCTGAACAAGATTTCCATATTATTATAGCAATCTCATCGGAACTCATGGTATTGTGTTAGGAACACAAAAATTTGAATATAAATTTAACTTTATACAGACTCACTAGAAAATCTGATTATAGGAGTATGCTAATCAACCTCTTTTTAGAACTTGATCTTTGATATTTTCTGTGGTAACATTTTGTATATTTCTGGGTTTTCTATCTAAATTACATGACAGTGATATGCATGTAATAGATCAACATTTCACATCAATTTTTGCTTTAGTTGAGAGTAATGCCAGTGGAGACACGTTGCTTTCCTTGTAATCAAGCATATCCTTTCAATTGTCTTACAGTATGCGGAACTCAAGCCAGTACCTTGCTTGACTTATTTAGAGGCCCAAACATTAAGGGAGACATGTGCCACTCCGGTCCTTAAGCAGGTATTTCTTCGGTTTGGCTCTCATATGCCACTTACATATAGAATCTTGACCATTACGAATCAGGCCTGAGCATGAACTCACCTCTTCCTCAAGTAATACATCTAACTGGTTAGGCATCTATAAGTATCTCTACAACTGTTTCACTTCATGAGCAGGATTTAGTCTTCTTACGCATGCATCAAACTTAATTATGCATCTTTCTGGCCTTCTGTAAACCGGGATAGTGTTTACTGAGTCAATAACTTAATTATCATCAAATGAATCATGGTCTCTACTCGGTGGGAATTGCAGATAACTTGAGAGTGTCAGTGACATAATTTCCAAGTTTCAAATAAAGGAAGATGTAGAAAACAAGTGATGCACCTTTTGTTCAAATCATTCTGGAATTGATTCACTGTTCCTTCTTTTCGTGCTTTCAACACTCACGGCTTTCATGATTCTTAATTTGAGTTATTTATTTTCTAGCTTTCAAGAAGTATATACAGTGAGGTTGTATCTTTAAATATCAGAAAAGATTTTTATTTGTCCGATGCTGCTTTCCTATTTTTGGTCTGGGATTAAGGTGCATAACAGACTCGGAGGTTTAAGTGAATCCAATTACAATGGATGTATATGTTAGCATATTTCTGATATTTTAAATATAAGGCACTTTATGGATTTATAGTGTTATAAATGTACCATTTTAACATAACTATTCATGATAATTATTGCCATGCCTGAACAAGTTATGTAGCTCAACTAAGCCTTCCTGAATTTCATGCCATTCATATTTGACAATGATGATTAGGGACTAACAGTTGAATGTGTTAAACCCCATATCATAACCCACCCTACTCTTTTGTTTATCTTGAATAATTGATTATGTGTAATGACTTGTATGGTTTGATTAGGTTAGGAGTGATGTTACAAGATACCGTTATGGGGACGAGCAGCATTTGGATGAGGCACTTAAACGAATTTTCCAGTATGGCCTGGTAAGTCTTCAGCATATATGAACATGGAGTTGGAAAATGTTCGTAGATATGAGATTGAAAGTGGAGATTCTCATTTTGAGATGGAAACTTCTTTTGATTCCAAATCTTCTCCTGTTTGAATCCTTCCCATGTAGCCTCCAAGTTCTCATATTTGGTAACATTTAATTGGACTCAAGATGCTTCAAGTTCTCCTCCATATCTAATACTGGCTCTTCATTTTAGGGTGGAGGAATCCCACGGAGAAGTGCACCTATTCTACAAATGATCCGTGAGGAGGTATGGTTCTTTACTTTGGATTTAGTTGGGAGGAAAAAAGAAGTCTATTCTTGCTTGAAATAAAGCAATTTGCATCATTAGAACCAGAATCTTCACCATAATTTACATCTCTACGTCAAGGTTCAGTATATTTCTTATTTATTTACATTTGATGTCCGTTTCTCTTTTGCTTCCACCTTACTTTGATACCTTGTACAGATCACGGATGATGGTAAATACTGTCTAGTGCTTGCGTTTGAGGCTAAGGCTTTGCA